ACTACTGGAGAGATCAAACTAGCCTACAAGACAGACCAAATGAAGAACAGAATAGAGGCATGGGAAGACAAAGCATTACATGGCCAATAGCTGGGAAAGCAGATAATAACAAGACCTGGCAATGGCTAAGAGCAGGAAAATTGAAGAAATTGACCAAGGGACTAATTCTGGCTGCACAAGACCAAGCCTTAAGGACAAATGCATATAAAGTCAAAATTGAGAAGACAGCAACAGACAGTAAGTGCCGCCTATGTAAAGAAGCTGAAGAAACAGTGGACCACCTGGTAAGCTATTGCAAGAAGATTGCACAGACTGACTACAAGCAGCGGCATGACAAAGTAGCAACAATGGTGCATTGGAAGATCTGCAAAAAATATCATTTGCCTGTAAGCAAAAACTGGTGGGATCATAAAATAGAGAAAGTCATAGAAAATGATAAAATTAAACTGCTCTGGGACTTCAGAATTCAAACAGACAAGCACCTGCAACATAACACCCCAGACTTAACAATTGTCGATAAGAAAGACAAAAAAGTCTGGATAGTGGACGTGGCAGTGCCTGGAGATAGCAGAATAGAAGAGAAAGAACTGGAGAAGATAACAAAATACAAAGACCTACAAATTGAAATAGAAAGACTGTGGCAAAAGCAAGCAAGGGTAGTACCAATAGTCATAGGCTCCTTGGGTGCAATCCCAAAACAACTGGAGCACCACTTGAACACCATTGGCATTGACAAATTCGCTATTAGTCAATTGCAAAAGATGGCCTTACTAGGAACTGCTTCCATCCTGCGACAATATCTGTAATACCATCAAACATCCACATCTGCCTATCCCAGGTCCTGGGTAAGGACTCGATAGGTAGACAAAATGCCAAATCCAGTCTGAACATCTGGCTGACTGTGCGATGATCCATAATAATAATAAAATTGGAAGGGACCTTGGAGGTCATCGAGTCCAACCCCCTGCTCAGGCAGGAACCCTACACCATTTCAGACAAATGGCTGTCCAGTCTCTTCTTAAAAACTTTCAGTGTTGGAGCATTCACCGCTTCTGGAGGCAGGTTGTTCCATTGGTTAATTGTTCTGTCAGGAAATTTCTCCTTAGTTCTAAGTTGCTTCTCTCCTTGATCAGGTTCCATCCATTGCTTCTCGTCCTGCCTTCAGGCGCCTTGGAGAATAGCTTGACTCCCTCTTCTTTGTGGCAGCCCGAGATATTGGAACACTGCTATCATGTCCCCCCTCGTCCTTCTCTTCGTTAAACTAGACATACTCAATTCCAGCAACCGTTCCTTGTTTTAGCTTCCAGTCCCCTAATCATCTTTGTTGCTCTTCTCTGTACTCTTTCTAGAGTTTCAGCATCTTTTTTACATCGTGACCAAAACTGGATGCAGTATTCCAAGTGTGGCCTTACCAAGACATTGTAAAGTGGTATTAATATTTCACGTGATCTTGATTCTATCCCTGTTAATGCAGCCCAGCACTGTGTTGGCTTTTTTGGCAGCTGCAGCACACTGCTGGCTCATATTTAAGTGATTGTCTACTAGGACTCCAAGATCCCTCTCATAGTTACTACTATTGAGCAAGGTACCCGATACTATACCTGTACATTTGATTTTTCTTGCCTAAATGTAGAACCTTACCTTTTTCACCATTGAATTTCATTTTGTTAGATAGCGCCCAGTGTTCAAGTCTGTCCAGGTCCTCCTGTATCTTAAGCCTGTCTTCTGGAGTGTTGGCTATTCCTGCCAGCTTGGTGTCATCCGCAAATTTGATGATTTCCCCATCTATCCCCTCGTCCAAATCATTGATGAAGATGTTGAAGAACACTGGGCCTAGAACAGAGCCCTGGGGCACCCCACTACACACTTCCCTCCATGTAGATGCAGTTCCATTGAGGACCACATGCTGAGTACGGCCAATCAGCCAGCTACGGATCCATCTGGTGGTGATTCTGTCTAACCCACATTTTTCTATCTTATTGAGTAGTAGGTTGTGATCTACTTTATCAAATGCCTTACTGAAGTCCAAGTAAATTATATCCACAGCATTCCTCTGATCCACTAATTTTGTCACTTGGTCAAAGAATGCAATAAGGTTTGTCTGGCATGATCTGTTTTTGACAAACCCATGTAGGCTTTTAGTAATGACTTTGTTTGCTTCTAGGTGTTCGCTGATTCATTGTTTATCTTTTCCAGAATCTTCCCTGAGGTCAGGCTGATAGGTCTGTAATTTCCTGGATCCATTTTTTTTCTTTTTGAAGATGGGAACTACATCAACTCTTTTCCAGTCCTCTGGTAGTTCCCCAGTGTTCTTTTTTTTTTAAAAAAATACATTTTTATTGAAATTTTTTTTTTAAATTTTACAAAAAACAAAACAACCCTTCCCCAAACCTCCCCAACCCTCCCATTCCCTCCCCCAACCTTCCCAGAGCTGAATATAGGCTTAATTAAAATTTCTTCAAAAAATCTTTAAAAAGATATAAACCATGAATAAATCTAAATACATTAATTAAACAAATTATAAAATAATTAGCAATAATATATATATAGAAAAACATAAATACCAAAAGAAAAATACTTAAAAGAAAAAGAATAAAGAAAGAAAAAGATAAAAGAAAATATAATAAAAGTAAAAAGTAAAAATAAAAAGAAAGTAGTCTATAAAATATTTTAAATTTTAAATATTAAATATCAGTTATTAAAAAACTAAATATTTTTTTATATCCAACTTATGTTGTATAAAATCTATCCATTTTTTCCATACCGCAAAATACTTCTCTTGCGATTGATCCTTCAAAAAAGCCAAAATCTTTGCCATTTCCGCCAAATAAGAAACTTTAAAAAACCATTCTTGCAAAGTAGGAAAAGATTCCTTCTTCCAACATTGTCCTACTAACAACCTTGCAGCTGTAATTAAATTTAACATCAATGTAGTCTCTTTAGTATCACAATCAGTAACAATACCTAACAAAAACAATTGTGGGGTAAATTTTACCCTCCTTCTAAAAATTCTTTGAATATTCCACCATATCTTAATCCAAAAAACTTTTATATTTTTACACGACCACCAGATATGATAGTAAGTAGCATCCAAACATCCGCATCTCCAACATTTAGGCTGTAAGTCAGGATACATGCGAGACATTTTTTGTGGATCAAGGTGCCATCTATAAAACATTTTGTAAAAATTCTCCCTTAAGTTTTGGGCTTGTGTAAATTTGACATTCCTCACCCAAATAATTTCCCAGGTATCTAATAGAACTGGTTCACCAAAATTTTGTGCCCATTTAATCATACATTCTTTGACTAGTTCTGCTTCTGAATCCAATTCTACTAACACCCCATAAATTCTCTTAATGTGAGTTCGTCTTTGATCTTTTATTTAACAAGTTTTCATCTTCTCTAAGCAAACCCACATTACGATCTATCTTCCACCTATCCACTATTTGTCTATACTGAAACCATGAGTAAATAATATTTTCTTGTGTTAAATCTTCCAAAGATTTTAACTGCCAATTTTTACCATCCCATCTAAGTAATTGTGTGTAAGAGACACTATCCATCTTAACTCCTCTCCTTATCCCTTCTATCGCATGCCATGGTATAGCCCATAATGGAATTTTAAAATCACTTCTATAATATTTCCTCCAAACCCAAAGTAAAGAAATCCTTATAATCAGTGTTCCAAGATCTTTGAAAAATATAGTTCAGTGGTTCTGAGATCACATCTGCCAGTTCCTTGAGAACTTTGGGATGTGATCCATCTGTTCCTGGTGATTTGAACTCGTCTAGGCTGGACAGGTGCTCACTTATCATTTTCTTGCCTACCTTAACTTGTGTTTCTATACTGTTTTTTATGGCACTATTTTTTCTTGGATTACTAGGTAGGCAAAAATGAGTCAGTTGAGTCTTGATTCTCAACATGTCCAACAGTTTAACTCTATGTAAGACCATAGGGTCAGGTTCAGGCTATATCTAAGCCCTAGGGAATTATGCAGTCAACTTTTTAAATACAGAATAATGTCCTTGTTCTTTCTCGATTAACTAAATATCACCACCAATCAATCAGACTAATGCTGTTTTAAGATTCAGAAATTCTGAAACAATAAACAGGCTTTTCTGATAGGACTTGAAATAGAAAACTGATTTATAACTTAATACATTAACAAACTTTGGCTCAGCTTTCTTGGAATCACAGTAAAAGACAAATATAAAGATACAAAGGAATACTGTATCAAATGTTAGATTAGGGTAACAACAGTGCATAATAGTTTGAATAATGCAATACTTTGTACACTACTTTTGATTTCAATTTAAGAAACTTTGCAACTCTTCTCTGCATTGTCGAGAATTTCAAGTTTTAGATGGTATTGCTTTTATATTGTAATCTAGAGATGCAACTTCATTTGATATATAGATAGGAATATCAACTGAAGCAATCGTTTCTGAAAATACTGAGCAATCTAAGAATAGTTAATCGTTAAAATGTTTATTATAAAAATACAGACTTTTCTGGCATATCTATTTCATTACTAAAAGAGAAGAAAACACACGTGGATAGTTTTAAGTAATTAAATTTCCCAATGTTGTAAACATCATTAAAATAAATTTAAAAAGTCTGATTTGCCTCTTTTATGCAATATAGTATACCATAGATGTAGCATAGAGTAGACTAGACCTTGAGGATGCAAATGGCCAAAATGCAAGCTGTTGATAAGTAATATATAAGCTTGCATCAGTAAATGGTTTGAGGTAGCAGTGCTGACTAATACGATTTAAGCAGCATGATTTTTTATGATCATCATCATGAATAAGAGTGTCCTCATATGCCATTAAGTCAGAAATTCTCAAACTCATGGTGCCTTTTGCAATGATATATAAATTCACGTGACACTCCTGTGAATGAATTAATGGTTTTGTTTGGGTTAGGAAAGGTCAACAAAATATTCTGCTTACTTTTAAGAATCAAAATTTAATTTATAACAAATATCCCAAAACAATTTTTATAAAATAAATTCTTTTAATTGGAAATAAGGAGTAAAACAATAAAACTTAAAATCATATTTTTTTAATAGGAAAGAAGAGCTTGCGTGTTTGATAAAAATCCTGAAACCTGGGATTTATTTTTAAAACAGACTCTTTTGTTATTCATTCATGTTATTATCCATTTCATTTGGATTGATACACACAGTTTATAGTAGTAACTGTAGAAAATCCTAACTTTGTTGCTGGCTTGTCAAGGTAGAGCAGGAGTAAGGACTGCCACCAATCCAGGGTGCAACAAATCTCAGAATTCATTCTTGCTTTCCTTTACAAGCTGGCTGCCAATTTGTCCAAACACAACAGAAGCAGGTTCATGTGATCTACTTTTAGACAGCATATAAATCTTGGTGCAGGAGGGAACGAGTTTTGATAGCAATCCAGCTTTGTGTGAACAAATCATTAGATAGTGTTAATTAGCTTAAAAATTAATTATTCATGTGTTTATAGTTTGAAAGAATTGCATATTTTTCAATCTTAAAAGAAGTCACTTAACCAAGCACATGTTTAATTTGACTTACTTCATTTAATTGTGTTAGAAAGATCTGAAATATTAAACATAATTCAGTAACTCAAGACAAACAAAGCTGTATGTTGAGATCCTATTATTTTGAACAAAGATCTGAAACAAAAGATTCTTTGGATGAGAGGACATGGAGTTAATAATTACTCCAAGTCTAATTTCAAGAGAGGTAAAATGATTACCATGTTCCCATAAAAAATCTGTAGCCGAGATTACTTCTCCCCGCAAAAGGGATCAACCTGAACAATTTATCTAAATGTCTGAAGTCTATAAGCAAATGTTGTAAATACAGCTATGGCTTTTGGAAAATATATTTTTCATGTGATAGTCATCAATATAAATCATGGCAACTATTATAGTGTCCTCTTTTAAAACACAAAGTTTGTAAATTTGCAACCAATTAAAAGTGTTGCCCATTTCACTTATTGTCCATGTTAGAAGTAGGAAATGCATAGTCAATCTAAAGCTTTCCAAGATATTATCTTAATATTGAATTGTGTTCTTCATTGTAGCACTCCTAAACATAGATTGAAATCTTGACTTGAAATTATAACGGCACATGGCTGAACAGGTAGGATACAGATTCACCATTGTGTGTTCTTCTGATTGCCTCAGCCAGAATCATAGAAATATCAATAACCTAGAAGAAAAGGCAACAGCTTATTATAAATCTCATTATCCACACATAAGGGTTGATTCTTACCTGAATGCTACATCAAAAACATGTGACAAGGAAACAAAGCCAAAGAATCATGATTTGGAAAAAAGTAGCTTATTTTTGTGCAAAATATTGAGAAGTTTTATGTGCATAAATCATTTGGCATTGATCACCATCCTTGCAGTGATACACACTTCCTGGTCCTGCCTGATCACTCAAGAATTCCATATAATTAATTAGCAATAGCAATAGTACTTAGACTTATATATCACTTCACAGTGCTTTACAGCCCTCTCTAAGTAGTTTACAGAGTCAGCATATTGCTCCCAAACAATCTGGGTCCTCATTTTACTGACCTCAGAAGAATGGAAGGCTGATTCAACCTTGAGCTGGTAAGTATCGAACTGCCAAACAGCAATTGGCAGTCAGCAGAATTAGCCTACAGTACTGCATCCTAATCACTGTGCCACCACGGCTCTTAATTACAGTGTTCTTTTGGACTCTCTCCAAGGGTTGGGAGTAGAACATATTGTTTTTCAGTGGTTCTCCTTCCTCTGAGGCGGTTTCCAGTTAAAACTGGTAGCTGGGGACAGATACAGCACAATAACCCTTGCTTTGTGGGCTCCTGTAGGCTTGACATTCTCCCCACTTTTATTCAATATTTACATAAGGCTCCTGGGCAGGTAATCTGCATACAGATGATATCAGCTTATAGATGATACCAGCTTTACACCTCAATCCTTGATTGAACAAGCAATGCTCTGAAGGTCCTATCTCAATGCCTGAAGACTGTGAGGGGCTGGATAGAAAGCAAGTTTTAGCAAAACTGAGTCACTTGAAGGACCTATTAGTTGCAGTGATTTTTTTCATCTTTAGTTCTTGAAATGATAGCACTTCCCCAAATAGAATTTGCTTGTAATTTGGAGTCCTTCAGGACTCCTGTGCAACAAGCAGATTAAAGCCTTTGCTAAGTGGGCATTCATTCATTGTGCCAATTGTGTCTTTCATGGATCAGGAGCTCCTAACTCATAGGCACTTATGTTTTGGTCATCTCTCATCTGGATTACTGCAATGTGCTCTACATAGGGCTACCCTAGAAGATCATTCAGAAGCTACAACTGATCCAAAATTCAACCATATGAGTAATTATGGACAATTATATCTTTACCCATCCAATGCAATGATTACTAATGAGCTGCCTGGTACAATTTAAGGTACTGGTTGTCAATGTGCCCTCTGAGACCCAAATGGGCAAAGCCAAAAACAAGTTTACAAATAAATTAAGAATAAACATATAACTTGCATGTTTCTGTACTATTACTTATAAAATACATACTGTAGGCAGAAAACACTTTTCAATGCAAACTTTTTACAGATGAAAACTGTCTCTAACGAAGACAAAAAAAAAAAAAAATGCATACAAGCAATCATCCAGCCAAACCACCAGCCGGTAGTAGAATGACTCCAAAAATAATTTTCCTTAACTTTTTCTTATTTCACTGAACTAATCTGTTGTCATTAATTCTTTTAGGCAAACTGCCATTTATTGAAGTTGCTAACCTCCCTGTAATCTTGTTTCCAGAGATTGATCTGTATATTTCGAACTCTATTCCCCCATGATTATAATACTGTAGTTTTTTTCACTATGATGCGAGTTTTCTAGAAATATAAACAAATTCATTTCTGAAAAGTATTTCCAGTGCCTTACATGTGCAGTCATTTAGTTTGCTTTGCTTGGCAATCTTTTATTGGATACCACTTCAAAATATTTTTTAAAATAAATTAGTAAGTATCTCTGTCACCATGTTAACAAAAGTATGCTTCATTCTAAACATTAAATTTGGCAATTCCTATTGTTTTAAGTAAAAGACACAGAAAGTTTGTGGGTCACATCTTCTTGTTTGGGTCTAAAGTATCTTAGCCTAACATCAGTAAATACAATTCCCAGTCAGAAGTTTCTTCCCCCTTTATACTGTGAAATTCAAATAAAAACTGCATAACAGATATTAAAAGAATATGAAAAGTACCTGGATCTTAGGACAATGTTTCATTTTCTCCTCCTGTGGGATTGTATTAGTTACAACAACAGCTTCAAATGCAGCATTATTGATGCGAGAAATAGCAGGGCCAGAAAAGATCCCATGAGTGAGAATTGCATAAACTTTAGTTGCCCCTGCAGAAACCAGCCTGTTAAACATAGGGGAAAATAGGGAATAGGGGAAAGTGTTTCTACAAACATCAGTCAATTATATATTAGATTTCAGGCAAATCTAAATATCCCTAATATTTACCAGAAAAATTTAAGATAGTAAAAGACATGCATGCTTTTTTCCCTAGCAGATAAAACAATCAGATGGAACATTTCTTTACATACTTGGGAATGCTTAAAGGCAGCCCATATTATGCTTCCTATTATATTATATTATGCCATTATTATGCTACATTATGCTCTGTGTATGCCATGCATGTTTAAGTGAATATTAAAATTGTCACAGTAATATGAAACAAAATGAGAATTATCCCTTAATAAACCAAGCTGCTAAGATACCTTTTCTTTTATATTCTGTTCTTGTATATGGAGCCTTTTTGAACTGTGTTCTCTATATTGGAGCATCTTCAGAGTCACTAGGTATTCTGAACATACTTTATGAAAGTAATTTCCATGCCTGACTACAGGTAGTCCTCAACTTACAGCAGTTCATTTAGTGACCGTTCAAAGTTACAATGGCACTGGAAAAAGTGCCTTATGACTGTTTTTCATACTTATGCAACATCCCCCTGGTCACATGATCAAAATTCAGATGCTTGGCAACTGCTTCATATTTATATTTCATATTTATGACAGTTGTAGTTTCCTGGGGCTATGTGATCACCTTTTGCAACCTTCTGACAAGCAAGCAAAGTCAATGGGGAAGCCAGATTCATTTAACTAACTTAACAACTGCAACGATTAACAACTGTGGCAAGAAAAGTCGTAAAATGGGGCAAAACTCACTTAACAAATGTCTCACTTAGCAACATAAATTTTGGGCTTAATTTTAACTTGAGGACTACTTTTATATGTGCACTGCAAAGGTGTGATGACTCTTATGCAGTGAAAGATTATCATATCGCTTGTTTAAGTCAAAATATATTTTCACCTGGAAAAATTCAATTTTACAAAGTTTATTTTGTTCTTAACTTTTAGGGAGCATCCTTTTGATGAACAGAAAAAAAATAAAAAATACAAATCTAAAATTCCGTGCATCCACGATCCATATTTCTTAAATTAGAATTCATTGTTCCTTTACAAGAAACTCTTTCATTGCCTTTGCTTCCTTTTGCCTAACATCTTAATCCAAAAATCAGACTATATATTCCTCAGGATTTACTTACTTGTCAGCTGCGTGACATATTGTGCCACATGTGTCTGCCATGTCATCCACAAGAATTGCTACGCGATCAGTCACATCCCCAACCAAGACCATTCGGTCCACTTCATTGGCTTTCTTTCTTTCTTTGTGAATCAGGGCAAATTCCACATTAAGCCTGTCTGCAATTGAAGTGACCCTATAGTGTGTTAAGAGAGGAAAAATGAGAGAGCAAATAATTTTAAATATTGCATGTAACCAATGTTTCAAAGGAATACTAGACTTCTTTATATCCTTTATACTAAATCCCTAATACGTGTGCTTCTATCTTTTATTGAGATTGATACATTGATATAGCAAAACTACCTCACTTTAAAAATGTACATCCTGACAACAAATCAATTATTTTATGATTTTCAAAAGTCTCTAAACAGATCACTGGATATTTTTAAGTTAAGATATTCAAATTTAAGTGCTTTTCAAACAAATCTATTCTGTGTTTGGTTGTATGTATGTCTATTCATATACACAAAATTGAGAGTGATCTCTAGTGGTCTACTTTATACATAAACAAAATGAACTAAGATATACTAAATATGTATAATTATATGTGTATGTGTGTACGTGCGCGCCTGTGTGCGTATAATGATGGGTGGTGTGTATCTACTTATGGATAAAATCTAAGATGTACAGGCCATGTACGGTAAGTTTTCAAAGTATCAATGACATTTTCTGAGATATAGAGAACCACAGGCAATCTGTGTGTTTGCATATGGTTACACATGGACAATGGACTCATGTTTCTTACTGATGTTCTGTGTTCTTAAATCATGACTGTTTGTTCAATTAAGTAAGTCATAGCACGATCTACAAATCTGATATACATAGATATAGGTAGTCTTCGACTTAAGACCACAACTGAGCCCAAAATTTCTATTGCTAAGCGAGACAGTTAATTGAGTTTTGCTCCCTTTTATGACCTTTTTTGTCACAGTTAAATGTATCTGGATTCCCCATTGACTTTGTCAGAAGATTGCAAAGATGATCACATGATCCCAGGACACTGCAATTGTCATAGATATGAGTCAGTTGCCAAGCAATTGAATTTTGATCACATGCTGTTGTAACTTTGAATGGTCACTAAACAAATTGTTGTTAAGTCAAGGACTATCTGTAAACATATGTACCCCCATCCTTCAAGTTGTCATGATTCTGATTTGAAAAACTGCTCATTTAGGTGAGAGATTGTTGGACTTTTAAAAAAGAATCATTGTTGCCATCTACAAATCTGACCTATGTCCATGACTAATATTTTACAAGTTTGCGATTTCTGTGTGATCCTCTTGTTTTACCCACTATGGCAAATTTAGTGTAATCTTGATTTAAAAATCCAACATTAGGAAGCATGTAATTCCAAGGAGAGGAACCTTTAAATTGCCAATATAGTGGTGTTACAAAAGATTTCAATTTTGAAACAACTGTTCTGAGCTTACCAAGTGTTTCAAGCCCAAAACTGATTGGCTTAACCTGAAACACTACTGGCAGAGTCAGAATGATCCCATTTTGAACTTGAAATGTTCTATCTAAACAGAAATAGGTATGCTTGTGTAAGAAAGACGCTCTTAACCCTTTGGCACAAAAATGAACAGAGAGACTACCAACTTTGTCAAAGGTATCAAGTTCCAGAGTTAAATCCACCATTAAAAGTACCTTCACATTGTGTATTAGATTACTATTATTCTATTACATACTACTGTGTTTTCCCGAAAATAAGACCTACCCAGAAAATAAACCCTAGCCCGATTTTTGTCATGCGCCTAATATAAGTCCTACTCCAAAAATAAGTCCTAGTTAAGAGCCCACCCACCAGGTCCCACCATCTGGTTGCTCACTGCCACAACGGGGCAGGAGAGTGTGCATCACACTGGTGCCGCTGCCACAAGGCTAGTCAAGGCAGGGACGTTGGGTGATGGAGCTGCCTCACGCACCCCGCACGCCCTTACCACAGGGCCCCTGTAGCCAGGCCACTCCCCGCTCGGTGACTTCCCCCCACCCATTCAATGACCTGGCTACCTGCCTGCCTTTTCCTTTTCACTCCCCTATCGAGCCGGACTGCCATGTTATGGAGGATGGGCGGGGGAGGCTCAGTCAGCTTACCCGGTCACCCTCCGCCGTTTCAGAGCCCGGGAGGAGTGATGGTGAAAGGCTCTGCCACTGCTGTGCAACAGCCGCGTCAGCCACTGGAGGAGCTTTCTTTGGTCCTGGCCACTTCCCTTCGCCCTGTAAATTATCTGCCTGGCGGCAGCCTGTTCCTCCTTCTCTGCCAACTATCCCATGGCTTGCACCATGATTGGGCAGCGCAAGCCTCCCCTGCAGCCTCCCTCCACCTGCCCATCTGCTCCCTCTCACTGTCTGTTTGCCTGCAGCCTCAACAGCTTACAGGGCTTCCCTGGGCAGACACTTGGGAGGCGAGGGCAGTGCTGGCAGAACAAGCCTTTAGGCGAGGAGGAAAGCAGTGCAGACAGATAGGGGAAGCCAAAGGACCTGCCACATTCTGTCCTTTTGCAAGCAAACGAAGCTTCCAGTCTCCATCATTTCTCCATCCGGGCGAAAAATGTTTGGGCTCCTGTGGAGCTCTTGCAAACGCACCATTTGCAAGCAGACAAGGCCTCCAATCTGTCTCTGGATGAAAAGTGTTTGGTGCCTACGGGGTGCTTGGAAATGGAGCCAATCGCTACGTTTCGAAGTGCTTCATAGGCAACCAAACACTTTTCGCCCGGACGGAGACTGGAAGCTTCATCTGCTTGCAAATGGGGCCCTTGGAAACAGAGCAATTTGCTCTGTTTCTAAGCACCCCATAGCTGCCCAAGCACTTTTTGCTCAGAGGGATACTGGAAGTGTCTGCTTGCAAAAGAAAAGACTGTGGCAGGCGGAGAGAGGTGGCAGAGGAGGCTTGTGCCGCTCAGACCTTTGGCTTCCCCTGCCTGTCCACACTGCTCTCCTCGCCTGAAGGCGCGTTCTGCCAGCACCGCCTTCGCCTCCTGAGCATCTGCTCTGGGAAACCCTGTAAACTGTTGCGGCCGTGGACAAGCAGACGGTGGGAAGGAGTTGGCGGGTGGCCGCAAAATAAGACATCCGCCAAATTAAGCCCTAATGACTCTTTTGGTCCAATATATATATATAGTAGCACATTATAATTATTACATTATTATTATTGACTTCAGTAACAAAGTGAAAATGAATAAGTCAAATAATCTTTATAGCTTAAAGCTTTCCAAAGTTGCAAGTCTGGTGCTCAAGACTGCTTTTTGAACCATAAGGCAAAAGAGAAGTGTACAATGCAACTGCTGGCTTCCAGGAGCAAAATGTTCTTTGGAATGCATAAGGGTATCAATATGACATCTATATGCAACTCTTTAAACCACACACAACTTTTTCTGTAATTGTGGTGCAATCATCAAAGGCAGAAACACAAATATGATGTAGCCATTTTAGGCGTAGCAGAGAAGTGTCAGATGAGCACCCAAATTGCTCCCAAGAACTTTTTTGCCCTAAAAACTAAAATAGCACTAGCACTTAGTTTTATATATCGCTTCACAGTGCTTTATAGCCCTCTCTAAGTGGTTTACAGAGACAGCATATTGCCCCCAACAATCTGGGTCTTCATTTTACCAAGCTCGGAAGGATGGAAGGCTGAATCAACCTTGAGCCGGTGAGAACTGAACTGCTAGCAGTTGGCAGAATTAGCCTGCAATACTGCATTCTAACCACTGTGCTACCACAGCTATTATATCCAGAACCCTATCATATATGGTTTGTTTGCTACAACTTAGTCAAACGTTGAATGCCGAAGCATTTTGTTTAGAATGAATGTTTATAAGCACACAATAACTGCTGTGACCTTTTTGCTCCACCTGCATCGGGAGACACAATGACACAGTTTCTCCAGTCCACAATGTTTTCTTTGATCCATTGTAATACAGCTGGTTCTGCATACAGGTTGTCCACAGGGATATCAAAGAAGCCCTGAATATTACAAGAAAAGAAACAGTTGTACATTGAATTCTGTGAACAGCTGTCTTTAACTGGCTTGACTGATCACGTAGAAGACAGAGATGATGATATATAGTTTTCAATAGTGTTTTCTAGGCAACATGCACAGCAAAATGTACACTTGCTTTTATTTAGGCTTTCAAAAAAATAAGTTTACGCTTTATTCTATATTGTAGTCTTATTTTGGCATACATTTTTTATTAAATTTTATTCTAAAATAAAAATACAGGAAAAGCAAAAGTTAAAGAACCAAGGGAAAGAAAAGTAGAAAGAGAAAAAGAAAGTAGTGACTTTTGACTTTTTTCAGTGCACTAAAACACAAAAACAGTACAACCTCAAACTTTTACTTTACTGTACATTTCAGGTTTCAAGCTACTTCTATAATAACAAAATCATTATAATAATCAAACCTTAAAATCAAGTTTTGATTATTATAATGACCATTTCGTTATATCATTTAATCATTTCATTTTTTCAATTTTGAGCAAAAAGCTCAGAAGCAGTATCCAAGTAAAACAAAACTAGTTAAGTTCTTCTATGTGATTAAAACAGTCAGTTTTGCCATCACCTTTACCATCCATTTTTCCATGGTGGGAATTATCTTCATGCACTATGTTCTAGTCTTAAAGAGAATATAAAAGGATGTATCATTGGTACATATCACCAGAAAAACAGTCTAGAACACAGGTCGGCAACCTGCGGCTCCGGAGCCGCATGCGGCTCTTTGAGCCTTCCCCTGCGGTTCCCAGCCTCCTCTGCCTTTGCAGAGAGAGACAGAGACAGAGAGAGGAATTGCGCTTTCCTGCTTTTCTCTCTCTCTCTGTGTGTGTGTGTGTGTGGGTTTTTGTGTGTGTGTGTGTGTGTGTGTAAAAAAGAGAGTGCACTCACAGTGTTCTCCGAGGAGCTGAAAAGCTTACTGGGCGGAGCTCCTCCCTTTGCTGCATCTCTGCAGGAAGCAGGAAGGGTAGGAGAGAGCTAGCTAGCCCAGCTAGGGTGACTCAGGCATTCTGGGAGTTGAAGTCCATGAGTCATAAAAGAGACGAGGTTGCCTACCCCTGATCTTGTTGGACAACAGCCTGAAGCTTGTCAGGTGAGCAGCAGATAGGAGAGAGAGAGAGAGAGAGAGGGGAAAGAGAGAGAGAGAAAGAAAGAGAGCGGGGGAAGAGGAGTGGCAGACCAAGGGCAGATAGAGAAGGAGAGAGAGAGAGACCCGTTTGACATATAAAATGAAGATAACACTGCATATATCCTTTTTTTACCTGTGTGTGTGTGTGTGTGTGTGTGTATACATACATACATATACATATACATAAATATATACACACACACACACACACACATACACACACAAACACACACACACCTATAATAAAGGTAAAAAAGGATATATGCAGTGTTATCTTCATTTTAGATATCAAAATGGTTTTGCGGCTCCCAGTGTTTTGTTTTTGGTGGGAAACGGGTCCAAGTGGCTCTTTAAGTGTTTTGGGTTGCCCACCCCTGTCTAGAATATAGAAAGGTTCTTCAAATATACTGTATGCTGGGAATGTCACCAATGAGAATGGAAACTTCATCACACGTAGTAAACATGTAAAAAACCCCAGAAAATTCTAGATTCAATTACAGATAATAGAGATTTTAAAGATTTCATATACAATTCAAACCAGAGATTTTGGGAGAATTAATGGATAAGCAGCTGGACATGAAACTTTGTTTTTAAATATTACAACTATAGTGAGATTAATATATGCATAAAGGTGGGAAGATTCAACCTGACCCACAATGGAGTAATGAATGGTGACAATGATGGAACTTACTCAGATGGCCAAAATGACTGCTTTAATTATATGATATTGTCTACATTTGATATTGGAAAACCCTTATAGATGAAGTTATATGGTTTTGATTAGAACAAAAATAACATTATACTAAAAACATAATCAGCGGTATAACCATAGAGCAGGGCTTTTCAACCAGTGGTACGGGTACCATCTGTGGTACACTGGCACCTGGCAGGTGATATGCGACCATCCTACAAAAGTAGCGGGGGAGGGGAATGAGCTGAACCAATGGCAGCACTGCACAAGCCTGAGTGAGAGATGGCTGGAGCTGCAGGGCTGTCAGGGCTCAGTGGAAGCGCCAGGATCAGCGCTTCTTCGGGGTTGTCAGGGCTCAGTGGAAGCGCCAGGATTAGCGCTAGGTTCCAGCTGGAGCTCAGCGCTGATCCTGGTGCTTCTGCCAAGCCCTGAAGAAGCACCAATCAGCGGGAATGTTGCAGCATCTCCAGGGTCTTGTGATTTACATTCAAATGCTTGGCAACTGATTTATATTTACGACAGTCACAGTGTCCCAGGGTCATGTGAAGTGACCAAAACCTGCTGCAACCACCCAGCAGATGGGGGGGAATAAAAACCAAACACTCCCCATCCCACTCCCACTGCCAATCCTCAACAGAAATGCTCACAACAATGAAAACCTCAGACAGGAGGAAGAGCACCGCCAGGTGGGCAGGCAGGTGTCTTGCTCAGCTGTGGCTTGGGGGGCACTTTTTTCACTGCCATTGTAACTTCGAACAGTCATTAAGCGAATTGTTGTAAGTCGAAGACTACCTGTACTTTATCACTTTTTTCCTTTTTTGTTTTGTTTTTGGTCATCAAGTTTTTGACACCTTGCTAGGCGACTGGTGGTACTCGGATGTTGCCATATCTTAAAAGTGGTGCAATGGGTGAAAAGATTGAAAAGCCCTGCTATAGAGTAAGAGGGTAATTTATATTTATAATTGCTATAAAAGAATACAGGTAGTACAGGTAGTTCTCGATTTATAATAATTGAGCCCAAAATTTCTGGTGTTAAGTAAGGCCTTTTGTTAAGCGACTTTCCCCCCATTTTATACCTTTCTTGTCACAGTTAAGTGTATCACTGCAGTTGATAAGTTAATCACATGGTCGTTAAGTGAATCTGGCTTCCCCATTGACTCTGCTTGTCAGAAGATCATAAAAGGTGATCATGTGGCCACCTGAATTTTGATCACATGATCATGAGGATGTTGCACAGGTCATAACTGTGAAAAACAGTCATAGGTCACATTTTTCAATGCCGTTGTAACTTGGAATGGTCACTAAATGATCTGTTGTAAGTCAAGGACTACCTGTAGCTTCTTAATCTTTTTCTTTTGATTTCTGCATTTTTCTTTGCTCTTTTCTTTTTTTATTCTAAATATTAGTTTTTGTTAATTTTTATTGTTCCAAAATTCTAATATAGTTTATTATTTTAAAAAAAGCTTTTAGATATATGTGCAAAGGTGGGCTAATTCGCTGTTATATTTATGACTGAAATGCAGTCTCTAACTAGTTGTGCCCAATCATTTAAGGAAGCAAGCAGACAAATCCTCCAGAGATACATATTAGAACAGGGGTCCCACCCCGGTCCGTGGACCAGTACTGGGCCACGGCATGCCAGCAACTGGTCCGTACAAACAAGGAAAGCCCCATCCACAGGATGCAGGCAGCACACAAAATCACGCCCCCTCTGGTCCACAGAAAAATCTCCATGTAACCTGTCCTGATGCCCAAAAGGTTGGGGATCTCTGTATTAGAATGAAAAGGTCTAAAAGGAAATATCAATTTACTGACACTAAGTACTGACTTACAATCTATTTCAGCCTGAGCTAAGATTGTATAAGTGGTTCTACTTTGTAACCGTTTATTTGCAGGGCTATTTTGCGATTTGGTTCCTGTGTTAACCTTTTAACATAATATTCCTTTTCTTTTATCCTGTATTTTATGAATCATCCAGCTTGTCCACTGAATTGTCCCCGTACTGGCGAGTTATTTTACCTACTCTCTAAATTCTTGGGAGTTTATCCTTATTAAAAGGCAGCATTTGCAGAATTGTGGTGTAAAAGAATGTGGGAGCCAGGCACAGGAGTTCAGAGAGTATAAGAGGCAATATGGCCTAGATACGAGGATCATGCCAAAGAAATTGCTGGCTCTACATTTGCCTGGAATGCATTTTCAGTTTTCAAGGTGTTTTTTTTTTTACCCTTGATTAGCACTGAGTTTTCTGAAATTCATGTTTTTCAATTGTTGACTTGACACTTCTCCACCATTCACATGCTGATTCTTACTCAGGTGAATATCTTTCAAGCCTGACAGTTGTCTCTGAGTTGTATGGAAGGTCTATAATCTCTTTATATTTCTTCTTTGGCCATTCTAATATTTACCTTGCTCCAGTTATTTCTTTGAAAGTATAATTTAAAGGATACCATAGAAATATTGAATTTCTTTTGCTTTGCTCCCTTTTGCTGGTTTTGTTCATGTTTCCTAAAATCCAATTTTCTTGTTGTTGAGAATGTTAATGTCCTAAAATGCTATATGTCTTCTTTTTACAATTTTTGTGGTATATAACATAACACTAAAACTACAAGGAGATACCCTTGAAGTTACCAGGAAGTACATCTGTATAAGTATTGTCTCTGACTCATAATTACCTGGATCTGGGAAGCATGCAAATCCATGGTGATAATGTGGTCTGCTCCAGCAACTGATAACATGTTGGCAACAAGTTTTGCAGAAATGGGAGCCCTGCTCTGAAGAAACAAAATATGGATTTTATGAACTTTGAAAAGAATTCTTAAAGACTACATTTATTGCTACAAATTATTTTTATACGAAACAAGTAGGAATTCCATCAAAAGTTGTACCGTTCTTTCCAAACAGTAATGTTCCTATTCAAGTTGAAACTCAACAGGCATGCTTTTTCTGGATAGCATTTTTTCATAGTATTGGCCCTAACAAGTTATATATAACAAGCTTGTCCCTCCCATCTCTGTTCTCCATTTTTTTGTTTTAATGACACTTAGCAAGAGACAATGGAACTGTGCAGTGCTTCAGGGGAAAAAAAAAACTGCTGCAAAGCATGAAGAAGCACTCTGAGGATATCTGTCTGTCGAAGCAGCCATAAATTTTCCTGGGATTGCCATTCCCTATGGCTACTCTGCAATCCTTTAAGAATGTTTGGTTTATGGAGCTGTGGGCATAGGCTACATTAATTAGAATGGTAGGCAAAGTGCTTCTTCTTAATTCAGAGTTATGTGTACTACACAATTCAACCAGGCATTACAGTTGTATAGTTCCTTTGATTTGTGAACAATCCATGCAAACATCTCACAATTAAAGGAACACTGACAGTTCACCAAAAAGGCACATTGCACAATATCAAAACTGCAAGATTTCAAGCAGTGATTTAAATATTAAAAAGCCACAAGGCAGAAAACTTTCATAAATTTCATTTTCAGCAAGCAAAATGAAAAAATAATCATTCAAACAAGATGCAACACAATTTGTTTTTTTTTTAAAAAAAGAGATAACAGTTATGTTATTTACATCAAAAGCTATATGGTAAAATTCAATTTAAAGCTTATGGTTAGAGGAGCAATAGTAGACAACTAAAAGACCATCAATTATTTCAAACTAATATTTGAGCTTGATTCTCAGAAAAGTTGTAACCTGTAAGCCACCCAGAGTCACCTTGTAGGGGAGATGGGCAATATAAAAGTTAAACAAACAAACAAACAAAGACTATTAAAGAAGACAAACATCAGGTTTATTAGGCAAATTGTGTTTTTTGGAAAGAACAATTCTGAGAATAGGGTTTCAAACAATTATTCTGGTTTACAGAGTGTACTGCTGCCACACAGTCCAAAGAAAGGGAGTAAATTTATTTTTAAAGACAGTTAGCTAGAGTTCTAATTTTATATAGGAATCCTCAGGACTGTTAAATTATTCAAAATCTTTTAAAATTACAAGTTGCTTCAGAAAGCAAGCATCACTAAAATGCATCATTCCAAAGATGTCCAAAGGTAACAAAAAAGGGGATTCTTTTTGTTTTACAAAAAATTAAAGATACCATTAGCAACACCACTCTTAGTGATGACATGGGCACAACTATGTAATTTTTTGCAGCAATAATTGACTTCTTTCAACTTTCTAATCTACAGTCCTAATGGTCCTACATCAAACAAATAACAGGGTTGTTAATATCTCAAATTGAGTCATTTGAAACCAAAAAGGCAACTTCAAATTCTTCATCCACTTATTTACATTTTGGAACAAACTCTGAGAGAAAAGTTTCCTTCGCTTTCATACTTCGAACTTTCAAGAATTCAGATCTAATTTTGGTAATACACAAACATGTATTTTTCCCTATGTGAAGATTTTATTTTTTCTAGGTATTCCTAGTAACAAATATCTAAAGAACAAGCAACAAAGCCATTATCAAAAACCTGATATATTACAGACATACAACGTTTTATGATACTGATTTAGAAAAGCTGCTGAACCTTACCCAACAGTTGGGCTCAAGCAGGTGAATTTGTCTACCACACTTTTTGACTTACACTTTTCTAGAATGCTGAGGTTAAATGATACGATTTTGCTTCTCATGCCTATGCAACTGATAAATTTTCTCTCTCGTAATACTCATGTAAACTTTTGCTACTTCTGCAATAATATAGGAGCACACTTTATTTATACAGCTCATGTACAAACACAAAAGATTTGAGCAAATACATGGATTTAAAGCTTTCTTCATTTGGCAAAGTTGCAAGTATTTAAGATATTGTTTCAGCTAACATATTTACTTTGGAAAAAGTTTGTATTGATTTCAGTATGAACTTTGTCACACTAACAAAAAATTACTAACTTATTTGTAATGGCAAATGTTCCAGGCTCTTATTTTTACAAAGCCCAAGGATAAAGCTTGCTCCAACGGTAATTAAATATTATGCAATGAGACTCAGTTGAGATAAAAATGGGTATGCTGAGCTTGTAATAATCCATGGTATATTTTAGAGTTAAGATAGCTGCAAGGTACCACTTACCCATCTACCTTGGTCCTATATAGGAAAACACAATAAAAGCAAATTAATGAAAAATGCAAATCTTCATATGCAAGAACAGGATAAATTAAAAAAACCAGTTCAGTCAAATTTATTAAAATCCCAACTGACTTTTCTCATTTACAAAGATGTAGTATTGTAAACAAAATATTATAGAGTTCATTAAGAAACAAATTTATTCATGCATTTAAAGATGGATGTTGCATATGGTTTGAAGAATTAAAAAGGTAAATCACATTTGAAATATCTAGTTTCAATATTTTCATTTATGAAACAAAGTAAAAAATGAAACTTTAAGATCATGTGTCCATATACAGAACTTATATATAGTGTTCAAAGAGAATAAAATATATTGTAACAAACAAAGGGCATCTTTGAAGTAGAAACAATTTAAAAATCCATTTAGGAAAAAAATCACAATTGTTTAATATCAGCATTTGAATGGAATAAGGGCACTGAAACTCTTCTCCCAAGCCTTTAGCAAGGATGAGGAAGCTGCTTGGATTGACTGTCCTTTTTCCCCATTTCTGTAGGTTACTATTAACTTTGCTAATCTTTTATTTTTTTATGCTTGTTTCTAATTGTATTTTTTTAAAATGTGTTTATTTGTGAGTTGTTCAGGACTGTTGGGAGATATTCAAATTTAATAAATAAAATAGCTAAAGATAACTATGAGGTATATAACTGATGAGAAAGAAAACTGCCATGAGACAGTATGTACCATGGTGACTATTAAGCACAACTTCTAATGTACTAACTACTGGAGAGTACTGTTCACATAAATGACAGATTTTCTTTACTATATAAAGCATTTGGGTAAAAAATGAAAATAACTATTTCACTGAATTCCAAGAGTATCTCACTTGATTATCTAAACACAGGTTTCTGACTGTTATGCTCACAGTTGCAAAAATTGTGGTAGCCAAACACTGAAACCCAAGAAAATATATAATCAGAAGCAGATTATTAAGACATGGCCAGCAGCAGAATTAACAGAATTAAATGGAATAATTAAACACAGCATAGAAAAGATTTCTAGAAGTTAGCATATTTTTCTTCTTTGAAAGCAACAGTTTTACAGGCAGGTATATAGACAATTGTCAATAGAAAAAACATAATTTACTTTGTATAGAAGAATATAATATTCTGTTAAAATCCGGATCGGAATAATCTTGCCATTAATATTCTTAAACTTGATTTTTTTATTGCTTTTGTCACATTTGCCCAGCTTGCCATCACTCTTGTTTAAAATATTGAGTCAAATACTGTAGGCACAAGAGGTATTACAATGGAAGGAAGGCTTCTCCTTGCATTTTAGAGCTATTTCTCCATGGTACGGAACCCATGGCCCTAGCTCCATCTATTACTGGCCATGCTGATGGCCTTACTCGGAGTTATCGCTCAAGACTAGAAAGTTTACAAATTCCATAGTGCAATGCAGCAGTTAATGTCTTTTTTGTTCCATTCACATGGACACACACATAGTACATATCTGTAAAAATATTTTAGTAAACTATGTTTAAAAAATAAAGACTTGAATTTCTCTTCCTCCGTTTCACAGTAGTGGCTTTGGAGAACAGTCTTTTCTCATCTAAGGTGGAGTGAAGGAAAAAACATGTTCCAAAATCAGGACATTGTTTCTTAACTGTCTTTCTCTTTCTCTTGTATTTTGCTGGCATCGGACTTTAAGTGATTTATTTTCATCTAAAGAAACTATGGTATGGAAAAATTGAGCATTCTACTTTCATGGCTCTGAATCTTAATTTAGGCCAGAACCTCTGTATTTCCCTGTAATACTATATTTCCTGGCAATAGAACAGCATGCATAGGTCACACATTAAGCTAATTTTAAAGGCAAGTTTAAGATGTACAACTTGACTACCATTGGTCACAAAATTTAAATGATAAACAAACATGGTTAACATTATGCAACTTCCTTACCAGATTGGAAGATGCTGAAAAAACTGAGGTCATAATATAGTAGTAACCCAAACTGGATTTAAGAATTCTTTAGCATTGCATATTACAGACTAAAAGGGTGCAACTGCATGGTCTGAAGAATACATGAAATGCATTGCCAGTTTCTCTCAATATTTTAGTAAAGTTTAAAATTACTTTTAAATAGAAAAAAATTACAAGTACCGGTACTAGTACTATAAACCTTTTGCAGTGGCCTGGGTGCTCAACCCTAGCCAGATTTAAGAACTTTTAACAATTGTTTTTAATGTTTAAGAACAGAAACTTTTTTCACTATTGTTTCTGGTTTGGAACTTCTTAAGATAATACAGCCCAATTCTTCTGTAGCTTCGTATACCACTTTTAGCCCCTTCCCTGCCACAGAAAAATAAAAATTATACTTAGCTAAACAGATATAAAACAATAATTGTCTTATAAAATGCTCTCTTTTCCCATTTTAAATAATATAATAGCAAAAGGTAGACTCGTAATCCTAAAAAACTTTATTTTTTTGACACATCATCATAGTTCTCATTTTGTGCAATGACAACATTGTGGGCTCCCTTTCCTACCTTCCAAAACTCCTGAGGGGGCAAGAGCGGACGAATGTGAAGCTGAGCACTTCACAAAATATTGTACCAAACAAATCAGTTATGGAACAAATGGTTTACTTGTAAATAAATTCTCTCTATTTCATAATCTTCATAATCTTAATAAACTGACTAATGGAGAATTGTCACCCCTCACTTACCTTATCTTTCTTATCTTGCCTGGCATAAGGAAAACATGGAATTACCGCTGTCACACGGGAAGATGATGCAATTTTGCAAGCATTGATCATGATAAGAAGCTCCATCAAGTTGTCATTTATTTCTCCACAGCCACTCTGGATAATGTACACATCTTCTCCTCTAACACTTTCACCAATCTCCACACTGAAAGAAAGATTAAAATATGTGCTGTGACAGCGATGACAACTGAGCACCCTAATCTTATAGACCATTAACATTTTGCATTCATAATTGGCTTATTTCCAAGTTAGCCTTCTTCAGAAATAGATAAAAGCAAGCAGGGAGTGGTTACATACTGAGCCTGTTTGCATTTCTTTTCAGATATAGGCATCCATTCATTTAGGGACTTATTTGTTTCCATTCATATATTCACGTGGTTAGCTCCATCATGGGATTCATTTTTTTTAATGCAGTTTAGAGGCTGCCCAAGTCCACAAGACTGTATCTGGTTTACAAAAAAAGACAATAACACAAAAGTCCTACAAGGTCTCACAATCCACCTTATCCCCTAGGAAAATAGTTAGATTTTTCAACAACTTTCTGAATATCATCAGGATGAGAAACATACAGACCCCAGACCTCTGGGGACATTTTTGGAAGGATGGGAATCAGTAACAATATTAAAAACATAACAAAAGGTTATACAAAAATCCAGGTCTATAGAGCCTGAATCTTGAGCACACTCTTGTACTAGAGTGAGTCTTGGACTCTACATGCGCGGCAGGAGAGAAAGCTGAACACTTTTCATATGCGCTGTCTCCAACGTATTCTCAGCATCACCTGGCATGACAAAATCCCAAATAGTGCAGTCCTGGAATATGCTGGAATCTCTAGCATGTATACACTATTGAAACAGCGACGTCTACGCTGGCTTGGGCATGTCATGAGAATGGCTGATGGTCGGATTCCGAAAGATCTTCTATATGGAGAACTAGTGCAAGGAAAGGGCCCCAGAGGGAGGCCTGAGCTGCTATATAAGGCTATCTGCAAGAGGGACCTAAAGGCCTTGGCAATGGACATTAACAGCTAGGAATCCTTGACCTCTGATCGTTCAGCCTGGAGGCTAAAGACACAGCATGGCCTTCTCCAATTCGAAGAGACACTTGTGCGGCAGGCTGAGGCAGTCCCAGAACCAGCGAAACCTGGGGGCTGGACAGGGGACAGATTGTATCTGCCCTCAGTGTGGAAGGGACTGCCATTCTCGAATTGGCCTTTTTAGCCACACCAGATGCTGCCTTAGGACCTCTTTCCAGAGCATGATATCATAGTCTCTCGAGACTGAAGGATGCCAATGAACAAAAGGTTTGTCCTATATTTCCTTAAGGAGACAATTTTAAAATGCACTTTTAAAAACAGCTGCAGGAAAATAGATCTCTTATTGGCATACTGACATAAGTCTTCTCTCAAGCCAATACCCTGAGAGCAGTATAAATTTGCTATTGTTCACTGGCTATGTTGAAGTATATCCAAGTATGGCTTAATTTTTTTTTTTTTAAGTCATCCAGTTCTGTAGATTGGGCAGTCGGTAGCATTCAGCCTGAACTTCTGCACCTTTTAAAACAAACAAACAAAATGAGGGAGAAAGGATTTTTGAGGTGTCACTTTTTTGTTGTAGAATTCATTTTTAAAAATAACAAATACCCATAACAAATAATGGAAGCAACAGTTCAAAACATGTATGAAGCTTCACTGTACAAAAAGTAACAGAACTGAACCTAGGAAACAAACAAGAGCAATGGAGTCATTTCAATTCAGCCCATCAGTAAGAATGAAAATACATTTTTATGCCTGCTGCCAAATACACACGTTTAGCCACCTGAAAACTTAGCACTATATCTGAAATGCACATGGATCAGTACTTTCCTTGGCATTTGGCTCCCTGCTTAGGAAAAAAAAATGCAACTCAGAAAGGAACCTATATTTGTTTTATAGATGGAGAAATGTAATGGTATATCAATTTGATCTTGAGATTCCTACCCATATCCAACTTTCCAATTGCTACACTATTTTATGCTACACTATTTTATAATGTACAAAGTAGCCCTAAAATGCAATAAAGTGGCACAACATAGAATACATGAGTCATCCACAATTAAGTGAATATGGACGTTTTAAAGACATTCCTTCTTTTCTATCTACTGAGTTTCCCTGAAAATAAGACCTGGTCTTATATATTTGTTTTGCCTCCAAAAAAGGCATTATGTCTTATTTTCAGGGGTTGTTTTATTTTTTTCCAGGAGCTGCTCCACGCGCTTCACACCTGCTTACCGCGCTGCAAGGCTCTTGCTGCCGCTGCCGTGAGGCATTATGCTGCAGCCGCTGCTGTGAGGCGCGCCCTGCTGTTGTTGCTGCCGCCGGAAGGCGGATCCAGCCACTGTTGCCATTGTAAGGCACGTCCCGCCACTGTTGCCACCGCCACAAGGCGCGTCCTGTGGCTGTTGCCGCCTTATGGCAGCAGCAATGGTGGCAGGACACACCTCGCAACGGCAGCAATGGTGACAGGATGCACTTCGCAGTGGCGGCAGCAACAATGGCAGGACATGCCTCACAGCAGCGGCGACAGCAGGATGTGCCTCATGGCAGCAGAACCTTGCGGCACAATACCGTATATGCCGGCGTATTAGGCGACCCGGCGTATAAGACGACCCCCGTCTTTGTCACCGAGCCGCATTCCTAGAACGTCGTCTTATACGCTGGAAACTACCAGTATTTCCGGTGTATAAGACGACCCCCGTCTTTGTCGCCGAGCCGCATTCCTAGAATGTTGTCTTATACGCCGGAAACTACCAGTATTTCCGGTGTATAAGACGACTCGGTGTATAAGACGACCCCCGTCTTTGGCGCTTGCGGAAGTCTTATACGCCAACATATACGTTAAGCGGGATGTGGGGCACATGGGACAGCTCCCCCCTCCCCCACCTCATGTCTTAGCAAATAAGTATGGCTTATTTTGGGGGTAGGGTTTATATAAGGCCCACCCCCAAAAAAAGTCAAGCTAGAGCTTATTTTGGAGGTAGGACTTATTTTTGGGAAAACACAGTATATACTACTGAAACTCTTTGTGTCTATTTGATTGTTTCAGTTGGGTGAAACAATGCAACTTTTGAATCAACATACAACAAATGGTCTAATTTACAGAATTTGTCCAAAATCCAGGATTCATTACCATATGGTATGGAAATCTAGCAAAGTTATGGCTGCTTCAGCCACGGCCAGGTGATTGTCATTTCCAACGCTCCAAACCATTTTCCTAAACCAGTGGTTCTCAACATTTTTAATGCTGTGACCCCCAACCGGTCGTAAGCCGAGGACTACCCAACCGGTCGTAAGTCAAGGACTACCCAACTGATCATAAGTCGAGGATTTTCCTTGCCCGGGAGCGCCACGCATGCATGGTGCCGCCCCCTGCGCCAGCCGAGGCATAGCTGGCAAGGAGCAGCGAAGGCGCAGGGCGACCACCGGCTGGGCCACCAACTGGCCCAGCCCAAGGGAAGGCACCTGCCGGGCCCCACGCACACCAGCAACCCTCCCTGCACCCGCCGGCCTCCCACCTCCCACCCCTGGCCCTCTTTTACTTACATTTTTAGTAGTTGCTCAGCAGGGAGGGGTGGAAGCTTCCAGACAGCTCGCCTTCGCTGCAGACAACTTGCAGCTCCATTTGCAGAATGGGACTTTTGGCGGGCTCAGCAGGGCAGAGACGGCCTGGACAATTCCTATTGGCTTTTGAAAGCCAATAGAATTAGACTCTATTCAAGAGAGTCTATTCTATTGGCTTTCAAAAGCCAATAGAATAAAAGGGAGTAGCACAGCTAAGGAAAAGGGGAAAAAAATGGCGGACTGCGTTGTTTGGCGACCCCCGTGAAATGGTCATTCGACCCCAAATGGGGTCCCGACCCACAGGTTGAGAACCACTGTCCTAAACAAACAACAACGAAATACCAATGGGGAAGATCATTCCTGTTTCCACAGGTCATGTTGTCTAATTAAACTTATAAGAGCCTAACTTTTGCATTACACTGTTATTACTAATTAACTAATTATCCTCCCGTCCTCCTTCTCCCCTCTCCAGTTTAAGCAATCTTCAGAAATAACAATATAGATCAATGATGGCGAACCTTTTAGAGACCGAGTGCCCAAACTGCAACCCAAAACCCACTTATGTATTGCTGGATGCCGGATGAGTGTGGCCTACTGAGTGGGCAAGGCTATAGTAGTCATGGCAGCGTGGGTGGGCGTGGCCAGGGTGGGCGTGGCCATCTTGATGTTGTTTCTGGGGAGGGATGCCTGTGGGAGCTGGGCAGGGTTGGGGGAGACCAGGGGTTCTCTGGCAGGTGGGGCAGTGGGCAGGAGGCTCGTCCTGCAGGGTGAGGTGAGGCGAAGGAGTGAAGATCTTAAAGTCCAAACTTAATGGAGGAAATACCTTAAAGGCAATCAACACCTGGGCAATTCCAGTCATTAGATACACAACTAGAATAGTGGACTGGACTCAACTAAAAACAATGGATAGGAAGACTAGAAAAATAATGACAACAAATCATGCCCTTCATCCATGAAGTAACATTGACAGACTTTATCTACCAAGGCAAATAGGTGGGCGTGGAATGCTTATCATTATTAATAATAATAATTTCCATCTAGCAATCGATTGCTCAGTTTTAATGGGGCTGTTTCTGGTAGGGTTAGATTGGGCAGTAGGAGTGTTAGATGTCTGCTGCTTCTTTAATTATTGTGTTTCCTTCTATGTGTGACATACCTCCATTTGTCTTCCTCCAAGGTTTATCAGTAGTAACTCCTCTGGGAGTTATTTGTTCATTATTTAGTTCGGTTTGGGTACAGCTTTCTTTCGTATGTTTTTTGTATGTTGGAGTTTGGCTAGAGTTGCCTCTAGATCCCTTACTTTTTCCTCTAGTAGTTCATATAGTTTACATCTAATGCATGTATAATTTGGGTGTTCTTTGGACATAAGCACATACACGGAACATGTATTGCATACCACAATAGTATCAGCTGCCTGTTCCATGAGTTTGAAAATCCCTTTTTGGTTGGTGAATGTGCTTTTCTGTTAGCCTTGTTTCTTCCTTCTCTGTTCTAAGTAATTGTGCCTATTTTTTCCTAACCTTTTTTCTGCCTGTTTGTGCTCATTT